CTACATGATGGAAAATTTCTCCCAATACTAGATCCGGGAGTTCCCTTGTGTTCTGGATTGGGTTCAAAATTACAAGGCTACGGAATTGGACATTAGTAGACATAAACCCAAAAATTGGGTCGGCTGTTCAACGACGGCTATAAAATAAAATATAAGATGCTGTGTTACAAATTTTGAAATAAAATACGTCAAGATTTATTCTCCAAAAAGGCTGAAATCAAAATTAATTTCATTTTGGCTTTAGATATACCTTTATGAGTTGTAATGCATGGGGCTATTTAATAAGTTATCAAGTTTGTAAATACTAGTCCCATTGCTTTAGAGACTAGATCCGTGTGGACAAAAACATTTTTTTAAAAATATATTTTGGAAAAATTAAACAACTTTATAATTCTACATGTAAACCAGAATCCAGTTAAACGGTATCAATTGTTATGTATGAAATTGATTTGTAGAAATAAACTCGTTTTAGTAACTAACTTAAGAATAAAATTATACGCCATAGACCCCGAAATCCCGGCTCTGATTATTTTTTTAAAATTCCGCATGATTAAGTTCAAAATATTTAAAAAATAAATTTTTGTAATAAGTTCCATGTTAAAACATTTTTATTACTTCTCATAAATTTACGTATTTTATTCTTTAAATGTTTAAATTATATTCATTATAAATGTCCAAGGCCATTTTTAAAAAAATAGATAGAGATATTTTTTTTTAGAGCATAAATTCGAAAGTGAAGTCTGAAGAGTCTGCTCCCTTACATAACTCCAGGAACCACTGTAATCTAATTATATCCCCCCCCCAAAAAAAAAAAATTTTTTTTTTATTCTAAATTATACGAAGTACATTATTGCTTTAAGTAGAAACTTCTTTAGATGTTCAAACTAAGTAGTAAAATTTTTTTCTTAGACCTGAATTACCGAGCTGGGAAAGATTCAACTTACAAATCAGCAAGCAATATGTGTACGAAGAGAACTCAACCATTATCGATGATTTAGAACGTGATTTGGCGACTCAAAGGATTGTTGCAGTAGGTAAAACTTATTTATTGATTTTAATAAATTTTACTGTTCTTTATCTATTTGTAGCTTATGTTATTTGTCTAAAGATTAATTTTAGTTCCCGATTTCCCTATTAAAAAGTAAAATTTTTTAGAATAAAGAATAATTTTGCAAACTCTTCAAAAGTTTCCACCACCAAGATAATTGTCGCAAAGTTATATTTTAAATTAGGCTTTTAATTTTTGATTCGATTTGGTATAAAAAATTTTCTGAAAATAAAATTTACTAAATGAAAAATAACTTAAACTTCGCTACCACTAGAAAATAATTTTTTTGCAAAGTGAATTAGCTAGTATTTAATGTAAAGAAATATATAATACCAACTTATTTCATATCAACAATCATTTTTTATCCAAAAAGATTCCGTTTGTTATTTTTTTTACAAACTTGTGTCACTTAGAATAATTGAAACTGTTGTTGTAAAATTAAAATATTTTATTATATTGAAAATTATCTTAGATATTTTGCGTTGAATATAATATGCGCTTTAAGTTTGGAACAGGGTGTCATGTGACGCATTTCACACGAACCGATTAAGTCATACTCATAACAGTAACTTCAGGTCATTTTACTGGACATTTTTCTAAATCTTCAAAATCTCTAAATTAAATTCATAATATTTTAATAAGCAGCATAATCTGTTTCATTATTTTTTTTTAGCTATATACTTAATTCACTTTACCTAATGAATTTAGTTATTAACAACCCAACTACTATTATTTGCAGAGCAGCTGGGTGGAGGTATGCAACTGAAGCTTTTGTTCACATTTGCTGATGGAGGTCATGGTGTGTTTAAACCTCAAAGGTATTCACATAAATTTTTTAGCTAAAGTCATGGGTGCCACTCTAAAAAAATTTCATGACTGAATTTATTTTTTGACTAATTAACACAGTCTAGCATTGTTTACCAGAATTTTCAGAAATTTATAATTGACTGCAAAATGCACCTTTCCACGATAATGGCTCGTATATTGTCAATAATTTGTTTGTTTTTCTCCCTAAGGAAATAAACAATATT